TCATTTTTAGACAAGATGTTTCTAATTTTAGTGATATTACGCAGGTGGAAGAAGGAGGTTCTAGTAATATTTTTAATGTGGGGGATAAAAGACATGTCCTGATCAAAAATAACACCAAGATTTTTAACATTAGAACTGGAGGCCAGATCAATGCCATCTAAGGAGGGTGAAAGACTGAAAAATTATTTCCCATGATGCTCTGGGCCAAAAACCTCAGTCTTGTCTGTGTTTAAAAGCAGAAAATTGAAGGTCATCCAGGTTTTTATGTCTTTTAAGACATGCTTGTTGTCCAAGTAGCTGATTAGATTCATGGTTTTTATGGACAAATATAACTGTGTATCATCAGCATAACAATGAATATTTATCCCATGCTGTATATACAAGGTAAAGAGTATTGGTCCGAGCACTGAACCCTGAGGAACTCCATGACTAACTTTGGTGTAAGATGAAGATCATTATTTACATGTACAAATTGGAATCAGATAAATATGATTTTAACCAGTTTAGAGCCGTTCCTTTAATTCCAACATTATATTCAAGTCTCTGCAGTAGATTATTGTGATCAACAACCATGTTGTTATTTCAAGTTGTAAATCTCTGACTTTTTTATTTGTTGGGGGTCAGAAGTTAAAATGTTTGCAAACCCCTGGTCATAATTTATCTCAACAGTTTGACTTTATGAAAGCCTGTTGGAGTTTCAGTACTAATTAACAGTTTCATTCTGGATTGTTTAATTTCAATGTGAAACATTTGAAAATGGAAATAAGTGTAAAAATGGGGGAAATGAGCATTATTTATTATTTATGGGAATACTGCTGCCGTAATCATTAATCAAATGATAAATTTATGTCTGTTTGCTTCTTTAGTTTATTTTACCTGCAGGTTTTCTGTATATTTGTGTTAAACTTAAAGAAATAAAATGCATAAACTAAAATAACTCTGACTTTAAGCTTTTCAGTTTGACGTGTAAGAAGACGATCTATCATCTGACTCATGGTTGGTCGTCACTCGAGGTCATTCATCTGCATTAAGCCCTCAGCAGGAGTGATTATTGTGCTTCTGGACTGCAGACGAGTGGAAAAGAGTGCGAAACAAACGAGTTATTTGCACACCTCCTGAGAGCCAGAGTAAACAGAGTGGCACCCATTTCAAGTGTCTGTGTGGATTCAGCCCGGCAGCGTGGCCCCAATCAGCGTGAAGCAATGCATTCTGGGAGATAAAAGATGTTTTCTGCACCAAGACCCCGAGAGCTGCTTGGATTGTTTGTTTTGACGGGAAAAGTTTAGATTTACTTCATGTCAGTTTAGCTGATTCAGCTACTATTCTGCTACTTTTAGCTAGCTTTTAGACACTTTAAGTATTTCCCTCGAACTTCATCGCTCAGTTTTCACACTGCATTTTAGCAGAACACGTAATCCCATTTGTTTATATTTGGTTTTCTGCCCTTCGGTCGCGCTACCGGAGTATAGCGTCGTTGCCCGGCCGTGACTTGTTGGTATCGCTGCTGAAGATGGCTGCCAAGACGAGAAGTCTGCTTTTCTTCACGGTGTGAAAAATCAGCAGGGAGGGCAGCAACGAGCCGCTCGCTGCTCAAACGTGGAGATTAATTTTAAACGTGTATCCTAGAGCGCTGGTTTAAAGACTCCAGGAACCAGAGGCTTTCTTTAACAGGGAGGTCATTACAACCGGGCAATTTATTACCGTGTTTAGTTAACTTAAGAGAATTAAACAGGCGTCTGTCTCATGTAGCATGACATTTTAAAGGGGGTGGGGGGTGTTTCACTGTCATAATGTTCTTGTGGTTAAACAGTAGGAAAGGATTAGAAGAAAGCAAAACAAGTTGGCGTTAAATGAGCCTGGCGGTGCTGATGGCGTTTAATGAGGGCCATGGTTGGACTTTGCCCACGCAGCTGCTTCAAATATGACATTTCTCACGTGTCCAATCTGATTTCTTCAGGTGAATGAAAGGCCCGTCATCCCTGAAGGAATGCACATCGCCCGCCGCTGACGCCAGAATATTCAGCAAAGCTCACATTAAGATGAGAAGAGACGCAGCTTTTTTGCCAAACATTGTAAATGTTTCGACTGATCTCAGGAAACTGTGAGCTCTCACATGATATGGTGACTCTCAGCTACTACCACGCCAAACTTTAACTCAATATCTGTGAAATTCACTGATGTGTCCGTACGGCCGCCTTTAGTTGTGGTGGACATCTTTATTTAAGGTAATTACAAAAGTTAACTAGAGAAATTGTATTTCCTGTGTAAATGCTTATTGCAGAAGAACTTGCTGGAAAAAAAAACAGCTGAATTGTAGCTGAAATTAAGAACAAGCCTAAATTAGCAGGCAAAAAACTGAAAGAACACATTGCTGAATTAGGTCTAATTAAAAAATACATTGGCTACAAAAAGCTGAAATTATATAAAAATAGCTGAAAAGGCAGAAAGAAGCTAAAACTACCAGAAGGAAGCAGAAAGAGCTGAAATGAGCCAAAGAAAATGTGGACTTAGCTGAAAAAGCTCAGATTAGCATCAAAAGAGCTGAAATAGCAGAACAAGTTCAAACTAGCAGACAAAAGCTGGAAGGAGCATAACAAGCTGAAATTTGCATAAATAACTTAATTTGGTTGAAAGTAGCAGAAATGAACATGGAAAAACTTGAGTTTATATGAAAACTGTTGAAATTAGCTAAAGAAATGCTAAAAAAAAGGTAGCCTAAAATGTAGAACAAGCTTAAATTAGCAGAAGAAAGCAGAAAGAACTTTTGCTGAAAGAAGCAGAAATCACCACAAAAACTTGGAAATTATCTGAAAAAAGCAGAAATTAGCACAAAAAACAGCTGAAAAGTAGCTAAAAAAAAAAAAGCAGAAAGAAGCTTAAATTATCAGAAGTAAGTAGCGAGCACTTTTTTGCTGAATTAGACTGTTAAAAGCTGAAATGTGTGCAAAAAATGTGGAATTAGCCGAAAATGCTACAATTAGCATAAAACAGCTAATTAGATGAAATTGTAGAAAAAGCTGAAATTAGCATAAAGAAGTTAGAAGAAGCACAACAATGTAGTTAGCAGAAATAATCTGAAAGGAGCACAAAACAGCTGAAAGTAGCTGAAAAAGTTTAAATTTGCAGAAGGAAGCTGAAAGAAGCTGAAGCAGAACAAAATGTGAAAGGGGCAGTAAAATGTAAACGGATCTAAAGATTTGAAGGATGGAAAATGAGCTCGGTTCATTTTCTACGAGATCAAGAATGTCAGAAAAGGCTAAATATTTCAAACAGCTAAAGTTGCACCAATACCAAAAGTCATAGCAGGATTGTCCTGAAAGAGCTGAACGTTTTGATTCATGATTTATTGAAATAGATTAAAAAGCTGCGGGACGAGAACCGCACCAAAACCCGTACGGAAGAAAAATAGAGTGAACTCTTCATAAACATCCAGACTGAGTTGTTCATCCATGGACGACTTTGTGCAAGTTTCTTTAAAATCTGTCCAGCTGTTGATATTTTGCTGACAACACAGTTCGAAACAGTCACTTTTCACGTTCAATGAAGAGCTTTAAAGTGTCTGATTAGAGGGTTTGTGTGGCAGATTGAAGGTGATCCAGGTGATCTCAGACTGAAGGTGATCCAGGTGATCT